TTTCATGGCTAAGGCGGGACTAGAACTCCCTGTCTCCTGGTGATTGGCCCAAAGTCACCCAGCCAGCTTTCATGGCTAAGGCGGGACTAGAACTCACCGTCTCCTGGTGATTGGCCCAAAGTCACCCGGCCGGCTTTCATGGCTAAGGCGGGACTAGAACTCACCGTCTCCTGGTGATTGGCCCAAAGTCACCCGGCCGGCTTTCATGGCTAAGGCGGGACTAGAACTCACCGTCTCCTGGTTTTCTAGGTCAGCACCACCGCATCAAATTACATTGTGGTCCTTCTTATCTTTGTCCCTTTGATTTTTCTATCTTGGTTCCTTTGCCTTGACCTCCATTGACAAAATAGCCTTGCTGAGTTGTGTCCAGTGTTCCAGACTGTGACGATTTTCCCTCTCACCAAAGACGCTGTCTGCTGGCTGAGGGCCCTAAGAATTGCAGCCTAAGCCTGGTCTAGGCTGATCTCTTGTAGACCAACCTCGTTTTGCATCCGTCAGCAAACGCTCCAAAGAGATTTCATTCTCTCCCACCCACCCTCCATTCAAAGCCCCCCCCCCCCAGTCTTTGACTGTGTTGTGTGCTCAGCGTTTCACTTTGTTATTACTTAAATCATGACTTGGCCGAACTAAATGGGGCACTTCTCCTTGAGAAGAGGACACTCTGTCAATTCTGATTCAGCAGGCAGTTTTAGGATAGCTCTGCTTTTCCCGGCATAAATAGCTCCTGGTGGCCTCTGTTTCTCCATCCCTGGCTCATAAATGCTTCCCTGCTGCAGCAGCAGCAGAAGATCCTGGACGAGGCCTGAAAAATCGGGGACGGAAGCACGTTTTAAGTTCAGGAGACTGCAGAAGCCCCACCGAGATTGACGGAAGAGAATATTTGTAGCCCCAGGTTGAACAGTGGGGTTCTTGGTACTGTCTGAGCTAGGTTTTCTTGCAGATATCTCATAATGATGGAGGAGGAGGAGGAGGAGGAGGAGGAGGAGGAGGAGGAGGAAAAGACTCCGAGGTCCCTGGTGCTCTCTGACCTTGGTGGCTTCCTTGCAGACGTTTCATGACCCAACTAGGGAACACGATCAGTGCTACAAGGGAGGTGGTTTTGCTATCTGTTTATGTATGAATAGTTTCCCTTTCAATGTTCTTAGTGGTTCCTGGGCTGGACTGCAAGAAAACCACCAAGCTCAGAGACCACCAAGTACCCCACAGTCCTCCCCCTCCTTGTCCCCCTCTTCCTGCTCCCTCCAAACCCCCCTCCCTTCTAGCCCTGATGATGTTCCCTAGTTGGGTCATGAGACGTCTGCAAGGAAACCACCCAGCTCAGAGAGCACCAAGGACCCCACAGTCCTCCTCCTCCTCCTCCTCCTCCTCCTCCTCCTCCCTTCCAGCATTGATGACGTCCCCTAGTTGGGTGACGAAATGTCTGCAAGGAAAGCACCAAGCACCCAGTTCAGCTCTGAGCTAAAAACGTTCTCTTCTGTGGGTCTTGCCGAGTCTTTTCTGTGACCTTGAATGGTTGAAGAACCCAGAGCGATGTGAACTTTGCTGGGCCAACCCCCCTGCGCCCCCCCCCCGTTCTCTTCTCCCACCCTTTTGCCTTGCTGCGTTTTCTCCTGCCTATGGAGAGGAAACATGGCAGCTGACATCACATCCTTCCTGGGTCACTTGGCCCCAGGGGGGTGTGCAGGACCACCCAGGGGGGGCGTACAGGGCTCCTGAGTGGTGTATGGCCACGATTGCAGCTACAGCGATTCCCTTGAACGTTTCGTAACTGGCAACATAATTTTGCTTTTGTTAGTATAATAACCCAAAAGATGTCCTTCTTAGAAAATTGGCCTTGAGATATAAAAGCTTTGAGAGGAGAGACTGAGTAGGGAGAAAATTGCAGTAACTTCTGCCAAAAAAAGGGATTCATTTAATGAAACATATTTAAAATATACTAAAGGTGACAAACCAATTCTGCAAAACAAAATCAGAATTATGAGAGAATAATTATTCTTTCGGTCATGACATGAGATCAGACTGACCAGGAAAGGGCAAGTTACATGTAGTCCTCGACTTACGACCACAAATTTTCTGTTGCTAAGTGAGACATTTGCGAAATGAGTTTTGCCCCGTTTTAAGACCTCTCTTGCCACAGTTGTTAAGAGAATCACTGCAGTTGTTGTTAGTCACACGGTCGTTAAATGAATCTGGCTCTCCCCCATTGACTTTGCTTGTCAGTGGGTCGCAAAACGTGATCACGTGACCCCCGGGAGATACTGCGACCGTCATAAATATGAGTCAGTTGCCGAGCGCCTGAATTTTAATCACATGACCATGGGGATGCTGCAACCGTTGTAAGTGTGGAAAACCGGTCATAAGTCACTTTTTTCACTGCCGTCGTAACTTTGAACTGTCACTAAATGAACGGTTGCAAATAGAGGACTATCTGTGTACATTTTAAGTCGGACTATGAATCTGTGACTGGGCCAGATTATAAACTCTGCTACAAACCTTTTGA